TACTCTCGCGGGCATTTCCACGGGGATCTTTGATCATCGCTTAAACGCGAGATTGTCGCGTCGAGCGTGGTTCCCCTCAACTGTTTGGCATAGTTCCCAGCCGTAAGCTTCGCACACGAGGCCAATACTATCGGCTGATGTTAACAGCTACGCACTCGTTTCTCATCAATGTCGAAAGACACTTCTCTGAGAATCTTAAACGCGAATTCGTCGCTTTTTTACACTCTAAATTTCTTACAGCGAAATCTCACTCCAAGAAAGTGAAAATACAATCACCGTTGAAAAAAGAAGTGAAAATGAGTGACAATTTTCACTCTTTTTAGAGTGAATTTTCACTTCAAAGGAGTGAAATGTCATTTAAAAAAAGATTTCACTCTAAAAAGAGTGAAAATTGTCACCCATTTTCAAGAAGTGAAAATACAATCATCCTTGAAAATGAGTGACAGTTTTCACTCTTTTTAGAGTGAATTTTCACTTCAAAGGAGTGAAATGTCATTTAAAAAAAGTGCGATTCACTCTAAAAAGAGTCAAGATCGTCACTTTATTTCAAAAAGTGAAATATTTTCACTTTTTTTCGAGGGAGGTTGCATTTTCGCTCTCTTGGAGTGAGATTTCACTGCAAGAAATTTAGAGTGTATTAGGTAACATATTCAGCAAATTTTATATCAGGATAAATGTCTGAATTAATAAGAAGATATTAATTTTATTAATTCTAAATTCATAATTAATTATTAATTAGTGACATTATACAAAAGGAATTAATATCATTATAAATCTACAAAAAAATACCATTATAAATCTAAAAAGACATATTTCTAAATAAAATTTCATTTTCTCAAAGTAACTTTGTGGGATTATCAAACTAATTACATATAACTCTCAATCGTAAATGTTGCGAAAAGTTTTGAGCAACCAGTTTAAGCGTCCTATATAATTATTTTGACGGTCCAAAATTATTTTCAGGTCTGTACTTTACTAAATTTTTGGATACCTCAGTAAAATCCTCTTCATGTATCGTAGTAATTAATATATTAAGAGCGATATTTTTAGATCTGTACGAATTGTAATAAGTAACTTTTCAAATTAGACATTCTATTCATTCACACATTCGCGTTCACATGCACCGCACAATACACAGCAAATTACAGTACATTCGATTCGGCAAATTTACTCGTTTATTTCAATCGAATGTTTTGCCACTTAGCGGCCCGAGTTCTTAATGAAAACGATCTGGGCATCGCCGCTTCTGATTAAATCAATCCGATTAAGCCATTCTTTCGGTCCGTTCCGATTGACTTTCAAACCGAAAATATTCATGAAATAGAATGTCAGGCTAATAGGTAACGCGTGATTCCTGTGCACGATTCTACAATCGCATTCCGGATTATTCCGTTCTATGAAATATCGTTCCAATAATCCGGCCGATCGGGCGGACTCGTCGAGATTTATCAAATTTGATGCGAACGACAAACACACGTGTGCGTCGCGCCGCGGCCTTACGCGCGTGCCGCGGTCGAAAAAAAAAAAAAAAAAATTGATCATTAAGAGTGAGGAAGATATGCAAAATTCACAGGCGACAATTTTGCGAATCAAGCTATACACTTTTCATTGTTCCGCATCTGCCTGTAATTGTAATCGTAGTTCGCAATAGCCGCGGACGTAACGAGATGTGGAGCTCGCGATTTTCCGAGTTTGATTCCGCGGATTGACTGCATTAATGGACATCATTGTTTTTTTTTTGTTTTTTTTTTTTTCAATTCCTCATCGGTCCAATAACGCGTCTTTTAGATTACGATTGAGTCACTCGAGTTGGCTGTTCTTTAATCGTTTTACCATTTTCCCGGTTAATGCGCTTGTCAAAAACGTTCAATTCCGTTTAACATTCGTGCAGTCTATTAATTAAAAAAAAAAATGAATCGATTATATATGAATTTAATTGTGTACGTAAGTATATATTATTTTTGCAATAATAAATAAGTGTGTAAAATAAATAATAGCAAAACATAAATTTCTTCGTAGTACTGAAATAAATGGCGGTTTACTCAAAAATTAATTGTCTAAAGTATAAACAGTTTTCGAAAAGAAGAATTCTTAACTGAAATCTAATAACAAGTTTGGACATCGTTCGATATTTTCAGGTTAACTATAATATGCTTTTCAGACCATTCAAATTAATTTAATATTTGAGCTGTTTATTCATACAAAAATAAATCTAATTGAGTAGTTTATATCGAAATTTGTCGAATTTTGTATTGTGTGTGGATTGTGTTTCAAATATATATTAATCTTTAGAAAAATACCATCAGTTGAATTTAATTATTTAGAAAAAAAATGGCATATAAAGGAAAAAACGACGTAAGCAAAAATAAGGATAGCTTTTAGGATTAACACAATATTTTAATAAAATTAATATTGGCATTATTTCTAGAGAAATGTAACAAGCAATTTGTGTGATTAGTTCTAACAATAAAGCATCTGTTTAATATTACTGCCGTAATAATAATTAATTTCAAAATATGCAATTTTTTCTCTCCTAATTTTGTATTTTTACTTTCTTTCATTCCTTCTTTATTTCTTTTTTTGGAGTGCGACATGTAAAAATATTATTATCATTATAATAAGTCTGTAAAATAAATATTAGCGTAATAATAATAAATCTAAATTTCTTCGTAGTAATTCTGAAACAAATGAATCGATTAAAAATTGTCCAAACGGTATTCTTATCTAAAGAACTCTAAGTTTGGACACTGTCCGATATTTCCAGACTAACTATAGTACGTTTTTAAAAATATTTGAATCAGTTAAAAATCTGCACTTTATTAATCCAAAAATGAACTTAATTTAATTATATACGCATATCAATATTATTATTACAATAATAAATGATGAGACTCTAAAATAAATAATAAATCTCTAAATATACTCTAAAACATTCTAAACACTCTAAAATAAATATAAAATATACATTTTTTCGTAGTAAGCCTGAATCAAATGATGGAGGGAGGGGGGGATGAATAAGAAATTGTCCAAACGAAATTGTCCATTCGAACTCTCGAACAACTCCAGCTGTATCCTCGCAACGATACGATTAGAGGAAACACGAGCACGAGATGATCGAAAACGTGTGTTTGCGATCGCTATTTTTTTTCACCCGCGACGCTAATGAGGAAACGGTTAATATCAATGGCTATTCTTGACGGCGACCGCCGGCAGCGGCAGCAGCGCGGCGTTGCAATCAGCGGGGCTGAAATACGGAGCGCATAAGTAAAGAACCGGCCGCGAAATTATTCAAGACCGATCGATAGACGAAGAGAACGCGCGCGGTCGGTTGACGCAGCGCAACTGAATTTCAGGTATCCGCACGGCATGGCAGCGGAGACAGTGTTTTTCCGTCGCGGGGAAGCCCCGAGACCGAACGATTTTCCCCGCTTTCTTGCCGTCCGAAGGTACACTCTAAAATGTCCTCTTCAAAGAAAATTTTAGTCGATGTAATGCGGGGGAAAAAAATAGATTGGGTAATTCAGCAAAGCTATAGCTTGCTGCACGAATTCAACATCAGTAACTAAGAAGATTTGATGGTTCAACGAAGAAATTATTTCTGTATGATATATCATTACTATGCTAATTCGGCTAATTTTTACAATAAGAATTGCTCATGTAACAAGTTTTTCTTCATTGCAGCAACAAATGTACGCGCCATCTTAGCTAGCATGTTTGTTAAAAATTTTAATCTATGTACTGGATTGACTTTGCATAATAGAAAATTATTTATGCTGTATTAACACATTTGCTGTGCTATTATAATATGATTACTTATAATCGCTTTAATTAATTAATTGTAATTTCATTCTCACAATTTTGCTACTTTAACATTGAAAATTGCTGTATTACAGGATTGTCGCAAAACTGGAAATCAGGAAAATGTCAAGAAATTAGAGAAAAGTCAGGGAATTTTGCAAAATTTTCTGGAAAATAAAAGTTCTTTACTTCAAAGAAATTTATTATACGCCATATCAAACCTACGCAGTTTTGGAAACAACTACCAACTTAACAATTATTAAAATGCAAGCAGTGTCAACATTAATAGAAATTCACATTGCTATGTTAAATTGATCTTTCAACAAAATATTTAACAAAATTCTGTTTCCAAAGCACCACGAAAGTACAAAAAAAATTTTTAAATATTATTGAAAGTCAAGGAAAATCATGAGATTCTGGAAATCAAGGAAAAGTTATAAACTTTTGGATGAGGAATTAGTGATAACCCTGTACAATCAGTGAAATTTTTAATTGTTCTAATAAATCTTTCTTCTCATAATAGTACACGTGTACTATATATCTCGAGTAAAATTTTCCTTGGAGAGGACGTTTTGGAATTAGGAATAATAGGCCGCGCGCACAAGGCACCGGTAAAATTTATTTCCTTGTTTACCCTTGGAACTAACAGCATCCCGCGAGGGGTGGAAACCGGGATGAGACGCGCCGACGGCGTTTCCTCGTCGCGATCTCCTCGAGTAAATAGTCATTATTCGGAAAAGGGTTACTCTCCTCGCGAAACTGTTAGCGTTCGGTATTTAGAAGCCTCATCGGGGTTCTTACGTAACTTCGCGATTGCGTGTACCATCTGTTTCCTATGTCGTGGTTTACTCGGCGCGAGGGATGGAGGAGGAGGTGCCTTGTGTAGAGGCTTTACGTTTTAAGAAAACCTCTATCGACCCAGGAAGGGACACAGGTGTCCTCGCGAGTCGAATGCGATGAGTGCAAGTTCGAACTCGCGTATATATTATATACGCTTTCGACCGCGAAAGTTAGTCCCCGTTAACAAGCAGCGGATCAGTCAGCGGTGGTAGCGTTCTCTCAATATTCAATTGCCTGTGCATATCGCCGGAGGGGGTAGAGAAGAACAGGGCAATTACTATCGATCACAAGGGGTAAGAAGTAAGTGTTGTGTATACGTATATGTGTGTGTGTGTGTGTGTGCGCGCGCACGCGGTACTCACTTTAAAAATAGCCTGTAGAGTACGGCGCTGAAGGTCTGTGAAAACCAGCCGCGGTTTCTTGGGGGCGGGCTGTTGGTGTTCTGCCTGGTTCGCCATCTCGTCTTTCCTCTTGCATGCTGAAATTAGAGGAATTCGTGAGAGAGAGGTAGATACAGAAGAAAGAGAGAGAGAGAGAGAGAGAGAGAGAGAGAGAGAGAGAACGGTGCGGTTCACGCGTGCGTTCTCGTTTACATAAATACGACATGCAACTGGGAATCGAGATGTACATATATTTGGAGGTCTAGATTTTCTGATTAAGTTTGTAGAGAAGATTGATAATCGCTGGGTGAAATCTCGATAATAGCACTTTAATTTCGATCCTTTTTGGTAACCAAAGAGAGATTAGTATTCGACAAAATAATTTTTCATAAATAAGAACTGCCAACTGCAAAACTTAAAACTAATCGTCCCTAACTTAATTCCTTAATTATTTTAATTAAACGTATTGCTTAATTATTTAATTAATGACATTGTATTTTACATAAATTACAATTTGCAAAAAATAGAGGAAAACAAAATAGTACGATCAGTTTTTAATCGGTCAAACTGATCTTTAGACTTTTTGTTGCCAGAAGATCGACTTTCAGATTCGAGGCTTCTAGAATCTAACAAACGTTCCGAGAAATATAAGTTTCACAAAAAATTTGGAATTTTGGGGGCCCAAAGATCATTAACAATAGGATCAAATCTACGTTTTAAGCTATGAAAATTCTGGAATTTAAGAGATGGAAAATTCTGAGAGAAATGATATTTGATAATAACAAATTTATGCGTTTCTCGATTGTCAATTGTACTTGTGACTCTTTAAGATTTGTGAGAATTTACATCAAAACCAAGCGTCATTATCGAGATGCGATTTATACGGTCCGAAGCAACTCGGGAATGAGTCCCGACTCGGAAGGGTGAGATTCTCTCATCGCACCGACCGCTTAATCAAGTCCTTCAATTCGCGTTTTCGTTTCCATTCATGAAACAGAAAGACCTCGACACTGGCGTGCCGTGACATTTTCCGCGTAGTTCCGCATCCTCGCTTCTACACTACGATAAACGGTCTTACGACGATAATCGCAATTACAGAGAAGAGGTGGACGAACAGGATGTGACGCGAGGAGGGAATGGGAAAGAGGGAGGGTGGTTGAGAGAGAGCAGTTGTGGTTTTTCAAACGTAATTTAATCGTACTTACTTCCGCGTTGTGGAATCTGTGCAGCTGAAAGCAGAAAAAAAAGACCGATGTTAGTCAGTAGGAACATGGCTAAATGTCGCACGACCTTTTTTTTTTTGTATTTTTCTTTCTTTTTTTTTTTGATAGGTCGTTGTTATCTTTTCTCTCGCTTCGCTTTCGCGTTCAAGACAGATATACATTAATAAGGGTAAATAGGTACGTAACGTAGCATGTACACAAGTCATTATAGGAAGGAACTGAGTTGCATACACGAATTTCAAACTTAGAGCTACTGGCTGGCTGGTAATAAATCATACATATCACTAAGGGGGTACGAATAGGGTAGGGGGCGGATGCAAGTGTGTCATAAAGATGCGCATTCTCTCTTTCGTATAAAGGTGACAAGAGAGGAGCGGGATGCTGGCGCAAGAATCCGTGGATCCCTTTTAACTCGCGATTTCTCCGAAAGAGCTCAAGTCCGTGTCGCACTGTACACTGGAGATTAAGGACATTGGAGATTAGAACTAGACTGGTCGGATCGTTTTAATCCGTTTCGTTCTGATTGGCTGAATTCTAATCTCCCAATCACACAATCCTCAATCTCTAATGCGTAGTGTGACATGGGTTTTAAAGCTCGTGTCACATCACTCATTGCGAACGCAAATTGGATTCCGATTGTGTAGAGTCCTAGATAATCAGAGATTAATGAAGAAGGGTATGGTCTGATTGGCTATCGTAGAATACGGTCAAGTTAATGCTGTAAATACTTTGAAGCATTTTTGATTAGCCAATAGTAATATTCTTTCTTCTCATTAGTCAATCAAGTGCTTCAAAGCATTTGTAGTGAGACTTTAACTACGCTCCATTTTAGTAAGAAATTAAAATGGCGTAGTGATCATGATTTAGACAGCCAATCAGTATCCATAAGAAACTAAAATGGCGGCGACAAACTAACCTAATTAATTCAATGTTATATCTAATTATCTAAGAATTATTCTATAGAATTATGAACTATGACTATTATGAATCGTTGACCACTCGATCAGTTTGAAGCAGTCAACGATTCAGGTCGCCAATCGCAGATGAATCTTTATTTTTCACGATCCTTGATCCACATCCGCAACACGTGATGTGACACAGACTTTACGGGGAATCTCGGATCAGCGGATTTCGCGACTCTGAGCCTCAGCACAAAGATGGCCGTAACTGAGTCGTAGTCGTAGATCAACGTAGGTCAGCGCACAATGTTTTGGTCAACCTACAACTACGACTTGCGTTCTACAACTCAGTTACGGTCATCTTTGTGCTTAGGCCTTCTCAAGGATGGTCCGCGGCGCTCCTAGGATCCGTGAATTCGAGGACTCGGGAACGTTAAGTGTTCATTGAGAATTCGGTTCCATGAGTCCGCGAAAGCATCCGAGGATCCGGAGCGACCGCAAAGAGGAGCGGTGGAAGGGTTGGGGAAGGGATAGTCCATGGAGCGAGTTTCGTGTTTGTCTTTCTGTATGAAAGCAGAATAGTAAATGTTGTTCCATTGTTACTGAGCAAAAGAAAGGTGTATGTGTGTGTGTAATGTATATATATATATATATATATATATATATCTTTCTCCAGATACATAAATATACATGTATCACCGTGGCGTTTTAATGTGGTCTGAATGACGTGTCGGTGTGTGTCGAGTAAGCGACTTGATTAGTCGGTCGTGAATCAAATTTTCATCCGTCAACGATCGCGCGGCGCGAGTATAACGTACGTATATGTGTTCATGTTCGCGAGAAAGAGATGCGAAAAATCCCGACGGTCCACGTCATCCGCGCGCGCGCAGTTCGTTATATACCTGCATCAGCAGTCGGAATTAAGCAGATCTGGGTTATTCAACCGGTTGGTCCTTAACGATGCGTACAAATATAGTCCGATATCGGCGACAACCAGTTTTATTCACGCTTCTTGCGCGCATTCTCGATTCTTCTCGCGCGCCACTCGAGCGCGGCACGCGTTATAATTGAATTAAGAGCTGACGGTTCCTATTAATTCGTAAGTGCGGCAGGGGAACTGTTGACTTCGCGTTGAAGGTGAGTGGGGGAAAAAAAAGTGCCAACGGTCCTAAATTATTGCGCGCACACACATACGCGCACACACACACATACACATACACGTACAGTGCGTACGTGCATACAGAAATGAATACATAATAATTGATCACCAGGCCACACCAAATTGTTAATAGCCATTCGAACGTAATAGTCCTCCATTCATCTATGAAATAACTATATTTTGTCGTTTCGAGTTTAATGGCCCTTGCCGATCGATAAGCGGTGTTCTCGGTTATAATAATAACAACGATTGCGTCGTTTTCAATTTGACCGTAAAATTAGTTCGAAATTGGAAATGATCGTCTCGCGACTTTTCGCGTTGCGCGTCGCGTTCTCTTCTCCCCTCTCTCCTTCTTTTCAATTATGTAAATTTTAAAAAAAGAGAGAGAGAGAGAGAGAGAGAAAGAAAGAGAGCACGAGAGACAGAGCGAGACAGTTTTGCCGCTTTATCTTCGCGTCGTCCATTTCCTCTCCTCCCCGACGGGATATCGATGGGACACGTCGAATTGGAGGGATGTTATATTTAAGATCCATTTGCTCGTCCGAGCCTTTTATTGAATTTTTAAAACCTTCCGAGATGATTCGGAGAGATTTAACCCCTTCGTCGGACGCGACAGTTTTGTTCGAGGCAACACATACATATGCTACGCTCTTTTCCTCTCTTTCTCTTTTTCAGTTCGAATAAATAAATCATTCTGATATTTATTTAAAAAAAAAAAAAAATACAATACTCCGGGGACGAAAGGGTCGGGCAAAGTTTAAGTGCTCTCGGATATGGAAGCTGTTATATGCGAGACTAATGGAAAATAGAGAGAGAGAGAGAGTGAGAGAAGGGGAAGGGGGGAGAGAAATAAGAGAAACGTACAAAAAAATCTTCCTTTGCTGTGCCGCTCGTGAAGGACTAATTTCGCTACGTGGCTGAACGAACCGGTTCCACGAATGGGAGGGTTGGTAACTGGAATGTCGATCCGCGTCGCGAGAAATGAAACGTCAGGATGGGTTCCGCGCGTGTCGTCGACACGATCGCGGAGGGCAAAGGTCGCGGATATGGGGCGGCAGTCCGCAGATCCGTTGGACGCGGGAACGCCGTTCCGGATAAACGCGAAAGGCAATCGCGTGCCATTAGCAAGCGACCGATAACGGGTGAAAGGAGCGAGCTGGAAAGAAAAAAATTGCACGAGAAAATAGGGACAGCTTCGGCGCGGAAGGGATGACGAGGGGAGGGGTGGACGCGAAAGCAGTAAGGGCGGATGGGACGAGATGGAAAATTGACGCGTTCATTATTGCCCGGAGCTTTGGGAGCGGAAAACAAAGAGAAAGAGACAGAGAGAAAGAGAGGGAGGAGTGAAACAGAGGGGATCGACTTGTAAGAGCCATGAGGCACTTTGTGCGCCTCTTCCGGTAATCGAGACGATTTATTTATCTGACGATGACAAATTGGGACCTGCGAGTCTATTCCGAAAATTTGGGAAACTGAAACTGTACCAAAATTATATCTGTGAATGCTCGATTTATTATTGAAATTACTCGTATATTGGGTAAAAAAAAAACAATTCCTTCACTCTTTTTTTAAAACAGTTATTTAATTTATTTTTATCAATCAATGCTGTAACCTTTTCTTATATTATTATAATGGAATATTATATTAAATAATTTAAAGGAAAAGTTATGTAAAAAATGTTCGTAAAATTCTTATTCTTTGTGCTGTAAACATTTGTGACATTCTTTAATTGGACCACGAGTAACTTTCTAACGAATAATTTGTAACTAAGAATGAAGTGGCCAAATTGCTGACAATTATTGACGTGTCCAATGAAAATGCGATCAAATTATCTCATTTTGTTAGTCATATAATATTCATATCTGTCGTTGTATCGCGCGTAATTTCACTTTAACGCCGTAATCGAAGATCATATATTTGGAGGACACGAGTGAATACGATCGGAAATTGCCAACAAATTAGAATAAAAGAGACAGAGAGAAAAAGAGAGGGAGAGAGAGAGAGAGAGAGAGCAAGAGAAGAAATGATTGCTCGTGTTGTCGATTCTACCAAATTATTGCAAATTATCGAGAATCGATTGTCGCGCGATATGAAAATAAAAATCAGTCTCTCCGTCGCGATTCTGCTGTTCTTAAATCTGCAAAAGGAAGATTCTAAAAAATTACAGGAACGTGTCAACGGCACTTTAAATTGACATTTAAGTAACGTAATAATTAACTCGAGGAATTATATAATCTCTTTTAATTACGTTTCTTATTAGTGATTACAATTTAATACCGTCGTCGAGGTATTCTTTGAAGCTTTCAAAATCTATTCCATGTTCATTCAGCGAGTCCGGAAAGCAAAGAGTTCTTATCCATGAATTCTTAAGTTTTGTTATCGCGTTATAATTCGCGGAGCATCTCGTCGTTTTTGAAAAGTTTATTCGCCAAGAAATGCGCCGCGACAAGACGAATTTACTCGACGCGACGTTTCGCTCAAAATTCGGGGTTGCGTCGAACAAGCGAACGTCAAACTACCCCCGATTCGCATCGCCGCGCGATGCATCGCGATAAAGCATTAACGATTTGCCGGTCGCCGCGACGCGGAAACTTCTTAGAAAATAATTCAGACGGCGTACATTTGCACTTTGCTCCGGGAGACTACCGGTGAAGAAAAGCGACAGTTTTATGGAGGAACACACGAGACAGCTCGGAGAAATTTGATCGAGAAAAACTGTACAAAACTCAATGAATTCACCAAACGTTATTTTTATTCAAGATGAAAATTTAATTTTCATACAGGGAATACTTTTAATATTTTAATATTTTTAATATTTTTGGTTATAAATATAAACGAACACGACTTTGTAAGATTCTCCTTTAAATCTGAATTTTTATCCCTTATTGTTTTACAAAATGTAATAAAAAAATTAATTTTGAAGTTTTCACTCTCATCTTCGAATGGAA